GTAATAATGAGGACGGAATCATATTCCTAATTGTGTAAAGATACGATTCGAAATTTTGAAATAATTAAAAAATACAAAAAGGTTTCCATCAAAAATTTAATTTCAATTAATCTAAAAATTCGTATATTGGATATTAATGTTTTCATTACGTTACATAATGTTTCAATTAAAAAATTAAAAAAATATTGAATACTAATATAAACAAATAATTTAATAAAGTAAAAACCCTTTCACGTAAATTACGTACTGCAGCGAGACGTCACATCATAAAGTTAACAATAATTGTGTTTAATTTTACAAAACGCAACCATATTCCAACAAGCTTTCGCGGAACAATTAGAAAATATTCCACAACAAACAGTTCGTAGCTGCAAGAGAAGTTTCATAAATAATCAAGTAATTTCGTGTTTTAGTTCATTATATCTTTGATGAGTTCTCTCTGGAGACTACATTCTTATGTATTTCCGATTCATTATAGAGATCCATTGTGCTTCGCTTCAATATTTCGTATTCGGTATTTCATATCGATTTTACGGAAGGCGAATCTCTGAGCCATAACGAACGATTCGTATATCCATCCATTTATCCATCTACATAGCTAACGCCCGGCCCATGTATACCTATCTACCTGTTTACCCATCTACCTAATGTACTACCTACTTGCGCGCCTCGAAGTTAGTAGACTTTCCGTCTTCCATCGAACACACCCGGGACTCTCGATAGGGAGAAGATGGGGCGTAAGTAACTATCGCGAAAACTTTTCATGCCGCTTTTACTCCTGGCTACAATATGCTTCACAAGATGGAAATAGCGCTTGGCACTGCTATGTGACCTCGCGCGAACTCTGCCATCCGGCGGCTGTCAGTGTCGCTAATTTCCGATCAGTCATACGAAGGCAGGTGAGGAAGCTCTTAATTCTTCCATTAATCTCTCGTCGCGCCTTGCAAGTGAGTTAACGTAAGGAAGTCGTTCCTATATTTTTATTGAACTTGCTCGATTGTAAACGAATCTTACTGTCTATATTTCGTCCCATTAATATCGTCGCTAATGAAGACACGATGCATTCGCGTGGGAGAAATGCAACGTTTCTTTAACTTTATAAAGTCCGCTGTAAAGTTTATGAGATCCGTGATTGTGTGAACGCAACATTAATACGCGACGCTCGGAGACACGCGTCGTCTCTTCTGAACAGCAAAGCGAGGATCACCATATGTCGACGCACATCCTATGAGTCGTCACTATTACGATAACCTACGTTCCGGTAGTACGGCTCATTAAGTTTTAACACAGTCGATATGTCTATGTCGCGTAATTCTCTGTTCCTCTGATAGCGTTAATAATGACGCGTCACGTTGCAAATCATGATGAGCAGAGAGTGCTGCGAGAAGCTGTTAATGAGTCGTTAGATAATAAACGTCTGAACCGTGATGAACGGCGAGCACATGATTGCAACGACAGGATCGTCGGAGCGGCGAATCAATTATAGCACGTCAAAAATATAAACCATTTATTCTTGATCAGCGCACATTATATATGATTTATTTGAAAAGGATTAAATTTTAAAGATTAAATTTCAGCTGTTCGCGAGTTAATGCGTCATCGCAAACGAGATATTAATTTCGTCTGTCGTATAAATTTTTGATAAAATTAGAACGTCATGTTTTGCGTCAAATTATTGTCTTTTTCAATATACCGTGTTACATTCCGATTCGGTTGAATTAAAACTATACGTCTTTCGCGGTGCGATAGTAGTTAACTGAAATTTGAATTTTAACGACGGACCATCGTGCGGTTTATCGTCGTCGTTGTTTTTAATTATGCCGTCACATGTGAAAATGAACGAAAAGACAAAGACGCGCGGACGAGAATGGGGAAAAAATCGCGCTTATACGATTGGAAGTAATATGGAACGCAACGGTATTAAGCAGAGTTATACTTTCCTGTGTGTCTCTTTCTTCTCTTTTCCGGACGTTTTAGTTACGAGCCGTGACAGTTGTGTGCTGTGACACATTTCATTCGGTAAAACGCATACATGCCAGCGACACGTGAGAAAATCGCTGCAAGTTTTCGCAATGACGCTGATTTCATCGAAGAAACTTCAGCGCGCGAATTCAACGTCGCGCACGTATAAAGATGAAAATTACTATACCTACGTTAAATTCGCGTGTAATTCCGTCTTCCTGAAACTTCACCGATGATCCTTATATAAAATCAGATAAATCATAACCTTTACTTTGATCATACGTCCCTTTGAAATAATTCATAATTATCTCTGCCTATACGTTTTTTTTTTATAGTGTTAACACGAAGCATAAAATATTGGAAAAACCAATGAGACATGTTGCAGCGATAACTTAAGTTTACTTACTGTAATCTTACTTTAACTATCATTTAAGTGTTAGTGACAAGAGTAATTTATCATATATGCAGTATAAATGTATGATACAGCGAAGCACAGTACACTGTAATTGAAACTACGGCTACATGTAGGTCGGTTAAAATATGCACGCGCTGTCATTGCAGAGTCGCTGCTCTTTTTTTTTTTCGTTTTATATACAATCTCCGTGAAATGTTATTTTATGCGTATCCGAGTGAAATGGGAACTTGGTGGAATTCCGACGAAGTGCGAATTTTATAAAATCGGAAACAGCTCAAAGCATAAACGATTGTACGTCGTGCTAGCGATTTAATATGTATTTTACTGAAAACTTTTATCAGAGCAATTTATTCAGCCCATATTTGAGTTAGAAATTAACATAAACTTGAATGCTGATCGAATGTGCCTGTGATCTAATTTACATATGATGCCTTTTTACTAGCAAGCTAAGTTCTTTAGCAAATTAGAAAACTAGAAACTAAAAATATAGTATTTCATAATTTATATATATATTTTCAAAAAATTCAAGTGTTAAAAATATATAATTTATAGAATTATACAATTTTTTTTAACTGCTAGTTTTTCCAATTTGCTAGAAAATTAGTTGCTAGTAAAAAAGTATCGTGTAAATTAGATCAGTCATCTTGGTGATATTTTATATATTGCAAATGAATATATAATTGGCACTCAGTCCTTTCTTTTAAAAAAGAAAAACTTTTTTATAGGCGTTATACTGTTCAACGAACTTTTTAAAATCGTATCTTGTATATTTTCATAAGAAAATTTGAAATACGTCATTTGCGCCAAATATTGGCGTATTTCCGAGAAAATTCTCAACCTTTTATCCATCTGTTTCTACTTCTCCAGTAGAAACGATGTGCTCAAGATGCGTTAAAAATTACTGTACAAATTTTCCAAGAGAAGTATAAATAATATCATAAGAAAGCTCATGAAATATTTGAGGATAGTAGAACTAAAAGTATAAGGCCAGTATTCACATATCCGTTTTTATTTCTTAAGTAATGTCTTTAAATACTAAATGACTGTGATTGGTTTAACATTTAATGATTGTACTTAAGATGATCTTAAATGTAAAAGTCGACTTTCAATATCTTTTTGAAATAGTATGGAAAATAAAAAACAAATTAAAAGGAAATAGTAAATAAAAATAAAGTATATTAGAGAAGAAAAATAATAAATAAAGTGTAATATCATAAAGTAAATAGTAAAGACGTTTGTACATATTCTTTTCTGCAAAGCAGAAAAATTGCATTTTCATAAAATTTCCCGGATTTTAGAGAATTTTGAAGTTCATATTCGAGTTCAGTACATCTAAATATATAAAGATTGACCAATTTCATCACAAGCAAATTTTAGTTAAACTGCTACCGTTCTTTATTTTTCTTTTGTCCTAAGTATACAAAATCTGTAGTTCCTGCACAAAGCACTGTTGATGTTCGTTCTGAAAGCTATTGTAATACATGACATTCATCAGAGAATGTTGCATATTGCATGACAATTTTATATGTCATCCTATTCTGTAATTTCGTAAATATTCAGTGAGATTCGTTATGTGTAGCAATGCTTGTAAAAAAATGCAAAATATATTTTGATAACTGTACGTTACATGTATATTCTGTTGACATAATGTCTGGCTTTTTTCATAAAAATTATTCGGAGATGGTTATTACAATCATCGCCATATACGTATGCAAATTATTGTCGGTAGACATGTCATCGCGATCGTCAATGAATCCTTACTTTTTGCATAGATGATTTGATTGCGTCGAGTCACGGAATATTAATTGCGACGTGTTCGGAACTTGACGTAACGTAACAACATACGGTAGTTAAAACCACATAATACCCCACTATTATTAGGTGCCTCAATAATTGCGCGTGCAATTAACGAGAATACATCGATTATCGACGTTCGAGAATCATGATCTGTTTGATTTGCCTGGCTTTTCCCGATATTTGAAACTTTAAGCTGGAAGGTTTACACAGTCGAAATACGTTATTACGCATACATATTGTAATGTTAACCAGCATTCAATAATACTAACATATATACGGAATATATGAACCAAAATTCCAAGATAAACACTAACATCGACGCATTTATCTAATTACGTAATATAGCAGTATCATTAACTCATAACTACAGTTATGAAAACTATACCTAAATTCTAAGGCATTCTGTTTGAGGTACAGAATGCAAATAAACGTTCACCTTACGGCGATTGATATCACTATAGGAAGAGTCTGATTGCATTAATTGGGATTCTAGTTTAACATAAATAATTCAGGCATTTTTGGCTGAATCTATTATAATATTTTAATTGAGATAATCAGAATTTCGATCGATATGATAAGAGCCTTCTCTTTCATTCATTTTTAACCAGAAATTTTTCTCAATGTAGACGAAAATTAGAAATTTTTTTATCTACAATTTAAAACCTCGGTATTATCATGCAGATTGTGAAATATTTTCGCTTCGGGTTCGTAAGACCCGAAGCTGTATAGTCGAAGGTTAAAATGAGTGTTTCTATAGCAGATCATAACTCATAAATGCTTCGATATAAGCGTTCGTTTATAATTTATATAGATACAGTGCACTCACCAAAACAAATTATAAAACAGACAAGTGTGGGAAGAGAAGTAGACATCGCTTTTCCCCAGCGTGGTTCATTCACATATTGGTATACTATCTCAGACGCATCGCAGTCGTTTTCAGGAAACTCTAAACGACAGAGGCGGATCCACTAACACACTCCGCGCATCGACGTTCGCGGCATTCCACGTATTCTCGTTCGGAGCGGACAGAATCACTTCGTATCACCGTACATCCCACGCACAATCACTCGCACGCAAATGGGAATGCCGTAATCTCGCTTCGCGTCGCACAAATTAAAACGCGGCGTCTCAATTAGTTTTCCCTCGTCGCGCTAAACGGGAACGATAGAGGCCACTGCTCGATAATTCGCTCACTATCACGAAACAACTCTACGACGATACCACATTCTCTCAATTACGAATCGACGTCACTAATTATTGCGTTAACGTATCGTGGTTTCACGAATCACGTATTCCGTGAACGACCACATCGACTATCCCGAAAAACCGATGCTTCATTAATTAATTTGACGTCTACTATTCACGTCCGAAAATCGTCGTTAAATCTGGCGATCTGTGAACGAACTAATAGGTTTTTTCATCACGGCGCTTTGACGTCAACCGCGATAGTGATAAACTTTAGCTTCGCGATATCACAGGCCGCGTGATTACAGCTCTTATTTAAGTGGAGAACGCCTCCGCATCACCATTTTCACTCGCTCTGCCGACGGTGATTATTCCCCTGTGATCCATATTGATCGATGCGAAGAACCGTTTCCGGCACTAAGCGGCGTCTTCGTACCTCTCGCTACGTCGACGACCGTAAGATCGCTGGCGATGCATTAGGCTGGTCGTCGTTATTAATGCAATCCACACGATGCGCTGGACGTTCCATCGATCATTCCACCACGGTTATTTGCCCCGCGTGTGCGCGGCTTCACCGCATTTTTCCGGGCTCGCAATTTCTCTTCCTGCGCTCGACTTTGAACGTGCTCCGATAGTAACCGCAAACGAGGAAGAAACTTCGCCTTCCTTTTCTTTTGTTCCTTTACAACTGTCGCTCGACGATTGGTCTATACAAATCGCTCCCTTTCACGGTTTGCGGGCTCTGTCCACCGTGCAAAACACACTTTCGATAACGGCAACAAAGAACGAACTGCGACGATTTTTTTTCTGACTTTTCAATTGTGCATCGACATCGGTGTTGCGGAACCAATAAACAAGTTCCGTTCGTACAGCGGCAGTGTTGTGGCACCCACGAGACGACGCGTTTTACGAGCGGCTTTTAACTTTAACATCTCCCCATCAGTCGCGCCGTTGCACGATTCTTTGCCCTCTGGCAGATGTGATTTTTTTCTATCACGCCTTTCTCTAGCAGTCTGTTTCGCCTGTAACGTACTTCTGCACGTCTAATGCTGCCGGTAATTAAACGCAGACCCTCGAGAGAGAAAGAGAGTGAGAGGGACCGTCGACGACGTCCTTAAGCGTTCAGAGACCTCTTCATGAAGCTGGAAGCTGTTTTACGCAGGATTTATGTTTGGCGAAACAAAGTGCTGCAGGACGGAATTTGTGAAGAAATTTGCATAAGTCTGTGATCACTGATTATTTTTCTTTTTTAACTATCGACATATAAACGATGTTTCTTTCTTTTCAGGGCAGTTTCTTTGAATACGAATTTTTCGAGCGGGCAGTGAAAAATTTATTGCTAAACAAGCACTTAGCTACTCCTGCGACAACGAAATGTTCTAAATTTTTCAGAATCCCAGAATGTCCAATGACGCTCCGATGTGCACTTCGCGTTCTCCACTTTTCCGATCTCACATTTCAATCGAACGTTGTGCAGATGGCTCGCTGGGCGATCGAAATCTTCCGGTACAATTTATCCATTAGCGCCAGATATCGTTTTATAGACACTACTTCACTATACTGTTACTATCACTTCGTCAAAGGATCGTACGAAGATAGATGCCCCCGGAGATATTTACGCACCCCGTCACGCACTGTCTCGCGTCGCGCTCCGTTTCAGAATATACGCACACGGATGGGGCAAGAAGAAACGTTTGCGAGAAGAAACGAGGGTAAAAAGAGACCGCGGGGGCAAAATAGAGATACGTACGTCTCCGTCAATTCCGAAGAACCGCACGGGGACGGAGTTTGCGACGGCTGCGTTTTCGTGTGCCGTCGGTACGTGGATTCTCCTCTACACTACGCGAAAGGGTCCGCAGAAGAGGGTTCTCGGGAGTGCGAAATGGGCCCCTCTCGCGCGTACTTCATCCCCTGACACCGCACTGAGAACGCGACGCGCGCGACGCGACGGGGAGAAGGTCGCGGCTCTTTCGAAACGGCGATGCTCCCGCGTCGAGGATAGCCGAGGGACTACATTGCGCGAGCGCCACTCGGGTGTCGAGCACGCAGCCGCCCCGTTCAGCCTGCGGAACTGCGCCTGTGTGCACCTGGGGCTACATGTGTGGGTGGTCTGCGCGCGCGTGTGTGTCTGTATATGTATTCCTCCCATAACCCGGGTTGTATATCAGACCGTCTCCCCTACCCCCGCGAGGGAGCCGCCACCCTTTTACCCCGTTGCCTATCTTGCGCGCATCCCCCTTTTCCTTCTTCTTCCTCATCTTCTTCTACTTCTTCTTGTTTTCCTTATTCTTCTTCTGCGCCTTGTACCTCCTCTCGTCGACCTCTTTCCTCATCGCCACTCCTCTCTTCATTCTTCTTTTTTCTTCTTCTCGTCGGCACCGGGGAAAATCGCGGCCCCGGTCCGATAAGGACGCGAAAAAGCGCGAATCCGGTTATAACTTATGGCCGAGATAATTAAAAGGAGTTACAGAACGATAATGGAGTGCCATCCCTGTCATCTTCTTGCGCGACCTCCGTGCACCAGCGAGAGCTGATCGTCTATCCGTGCTGACTGGTGGTCGCTGAGGGTCACCCATTTCTTGGGTCAGGTTGGTGAGTCTCATCGCCAACTTCCTGACTCTTCTCGCGCTGATGCGATCTCAAAGACGTTCTGTCATCGTGAACATTGAACGTCAAGAAAACGCTGACTCGCGTAGATAACGGTGGATAAACGTAATATAAAGTACCTAAATATCTACTTAATTTTATTTCATTCTTGTTTTAATTTTATTTATGATCCTTCTTGATTTCTTTAATTTTTCCTATATATATTTCCGCTAACCGATTAAATTATTGTCTTTGCGATTCTAAATAAAGAAATAAACAGTATGTCATGTTCCTTCTCAGAATGGTGAAACACGTGCAGAAGACGGGACAGAATTATCATGTTAAGAACTACCTGTTAAGGAGTCTCGACGAGATCCGAGATGCACTGCAGTCACGTGTCACCGACTATATCGACCACATCGGAAACTCAGCGCGGAAAGATCAATAGGCATATCCCGCGTCTTCGGCATTCCGAGAATACGTTAAGAATTCCTAGGATATTCCCATACCGCCCCAGGAAAATTAACCGACCGACCCGCGATCGTCGTCTCTTTGCGGTATTGACTAGCGATTACGGGAAGATCGGTCCTGAAGACCCTCCCGATCCTAGAATGAATTTTGCATTCCGTTAAAGGCTCTCGCTAGCGGCATGAGAACGCGAACACTCTCCTGTGGATTATGGCTCCTTATAAGAACCTATAAGCAACGAAATAATCCGATGGGACGTGTCGAGCGTGGGATAAATTTATGAGGCGATCGCATCGTAGCAACCTCTGTCGCAGGGCACAGAAACAACGTATCCTCATCTCCAATGCCGGGCCTTGTATCTTAATTGTCTTCCATTGAGTATCGATTACCGACGTACGACGATTCGATGCACCGCGCGTGCTAAGATTAATTGTTATATCGATCTGCCATGAATTTTAATGCGCGCGGAACTTCGCGGAGTAGTACTACTTGATTAGCATTCGCTTTGTCAGAGGTAAGAGCACATTACAGCGCTTCCCGCGACGTGTTGTGAATATTGTCGTCGACTTCAAGTGGATGTACCTTTCTACTTTAACTATTTCCTCTCGCGTCTCGCGAATAATTTCACTGCTTTGTTTCGGATCTCATTGCTTTAATTATGCTCTTAGATCGATCGATTAAAATTAAATCAAATAATTGAAGAATTAAAGGACTCTTTTATATAACAATAATTAATACGTTAAAAATGGCGAATAAGAGTCAAATTACAATTTAAAATCTGAATCTGATAATTTATTCTAATATTCTATATTGCGAAGAATATCACGTAATTTTTTGGCGTTTCGTCCCGGCTTCCACTACTGGACTCATCAGTAAGGTATTGTAATGGAAGCCTACCTTAGACGCCGGTGTAAGTTATTAAATCGAGATGCTATATAAAGAGATATACGCGTGTCTCAGCACTTGCGAGAATTTGCGAATATCGATAGACCTCTGATGGCGGGTCGACGTAGTAATATTCTTCGCAATATTTATCCAAAGTAAGAAATAACGTTCTATTAATATATGTAGTCCCCCCAAATTGCGCGCCGAACAATTATCGGTCTTAATTAAATCATATTAAAAATTAAATCATATTTTATGTTCACTAAAGAGATAAACCAAATTGAAAGACTATATAAAAATCGTTAATTTTTGTTAAATCTATATGTGACAAATGATTTGGAAAAATCATGTTTTTTTTAACATTCGCTTCCTATTATAACGCGTTGTGATATTTCACTTTATTTTTAATCATAGATTTTGATATATTGTAAGTCCCGTATTTCAATTTAATAAATTTATATATTTTTAAATTACAATGCACTTTGTATACGCATTGTAATGGTTTATAATGTGTATATTAAAATGCATCGTTATAGTTATAAATTTTGAGATTATACAGATGTACATGTACAGATAACCTTAAACAAAAAAATATCGTTGATAACTCCATGAGAGAGGTTCTCTCATGGATTTTGTGTACGGCTTTTACAGCTCACACGGCTCAATTGTTGTCAATGGCGAGCTTATCGTTGACAAAGGCACGACCCATACAGACAGATCGATGGTTATATTTCCACGCACGTGAATTTCGAAAACGTCCGTCACGATTTATCATCTGACACGCGGTAACCAAACCAACTCGTCCGAACCCGCGAATATTTGCGATATTTAAATCTACGAACGCATGTCATTACATCATTCACGCGCGTTATACCGTAAAAACCGATATTCGCAGCAAGAATGAAAATTTGAAGCCGCAATGTGTAAATTTCAATTTACAAGTGGACCTTTGTTGTTTCCCTCTCCCATGAGAAGCAATACACCGTGACTGTTAGGTGTAATTTTCATTTTCCTTATCCTTAAAGGGTCACCAATATAGCACATACAGGATGCCAATCAGTTTGGAATTCACGACGGAGTTGTGCTATCCGTCCGGTTCAATAGGCATTTACCTCACATTTCCGCGAATTCCAGGAATATAGTTCCAAGGACCACGAGAACCTGCGATCGGCGAGTCACGATGACGCGGCCGTGAAGAGAGATCAATAGACAAGCACATTCGTACGTTCCAGATTCCGCGAATGTTCCGTACAGCCCACGTTTCTCTCTATCTCGATCCTTCACCGAAT